ACAATCGAAAAGGGTACTTTTGATTATTTGGAGAATCTTAAACAATTGTGAGTAATTTTATTATTAAAAATTTTGAGGTTAATTTCAATTTTGAGGTTATGTCAAATGTCATTTAATAAATGTCATCAAGAATCATGTTGCTTAAAAATTGACAATTTTTTTTTAATTGACGTGGAATCACTCAAATAAGTTGTTATAAATAAACAAAAAGGGCGGAAAAGTGTAAAACTTACCAAAAAATCACTTTAAAGTTTCAAATTGACGACAAAACGCATATTTTTGGGTGAAATACGGTTGTTTCTTAGATTTTCGACGCATAACGACTAAAATGTCGTTGTTTACCATCTATAAACTAAAAATACCTGGTGCCCTACCCCTCTCTTTAACTTATTGGTTCCTGAATATCTGGCAAAAGACTAATTATTGCTATCAGAAGATTAAATACTGCTAGTAAAAGACTAAAAACTGCGTGGAAAGAGGAATTACTATTTCAAAAAGTTATTTACTGCTTCTAAAATGCTAGATACTGCAGAAAAAGACCACAACTTACTTGGAAACTGTTTTCAAAATAATACCTATTACTTCCAGAGCACTAAACACTGCTGTTAAAGGTTTTGACCTACTTTGACAGGAGAAATACTGCTTCCAAGACCACTTATTGCTTTCAAAGACTTTAATAATACTTTGGAAAAGAGATGTGCTTTCCAAAAAGCTACCTTCCACTTCTAGAATGTTAGATACTGCTGGAAAAGACTAATAACTGTTTGGAAAGTAGAGATATGCTCTCCAAAAAAGGTACCTACTGCTTTTAAAGCGCTATATAGTACTGGAAAAGATTACAACCTGTTTGGAGAAGACTAACTACTGCTGGGAGAAATTATTATCTGCTTGGAAAGACAAGATACTGTTTTCAAAAGGCTATTAACTACATTTGGTATGCTAAATATTGTTGGAAAGACTACTAATTGCTTGGAGAAAGCTAGATATTGTTGGCAAAGACTATTTAATGTATTCAGAAGACTATATACTGCTGCCAAAACACTACTAAGTGCTTGGANAAAGGCCACAACTTACTAGATACTGTTTTCAAAAGGCTATTAACTACATTTGGTATGCTAAATATTGTTGGAAAGACTACTAATTGCTTGGAGAAAGCTAGATATTGTTGGCAAAGACTATTTAATGTATTCAGAAGACTATATACTGCTGCCAAAACACTACTAAGTGCTTGGAAAGAGGAAATACTATTTCAAAAAGTTGCCTGCTGCTTCTAAAATGCTAGATACTGTAGAAAAAGACCACAACTTACTTGGAAAAGACTAGAAACTATTTTCAAAATCATATCTATTGCTTCCAGAACGCTAAACACTGCTGTTAAAGGTTTCGACCTACTTGTACAGGCGGAATACTGCTTCCAAGACTACTTATTGCTTTCAAGGACTTTAATAATTGTTTGAAAAAGAGATATGCTTTCAAAAAAGCTACCTACTGCCTCCAAAATGTTAGATACTACTGAAAAAGACTAATATCTGCTTAGAAAGAAGAGATATGCTTTCCAAAAAAGCTACCTACTGCTTCCAAAATGCAAGATACTGGTGGAAAAGGTAACAATTTGCTTGGAGAAGACTAGATAGTGCTAACAAACAACTACAAACTGATTGGAAAGAGGAGATACTGCTTCCATAAGATTACTTACTGCTTTCAAAGCGCTATATAGTACTAGAAAAGAGTACAAGCTGTTTGCAGAAGACTAAATACTGCTGGGAGAAACTGTTAACTGCTTGGAAAGACAAGATACTGTTTTCAAAACACTATTAACTACTTTCAGAATGATAAATATTGTTGGAAAGATTAAGTACTAATTGCTTGGAGAAAGCTGGATATTGTTGGTAAAGACTATTTAATGTTTTTAGAACACTATATACTGCTGCCAAAATACTACTAAATGCTTGGAGATTACAATACTACTGGTTGAAGACTATTTACTAAAACTATCCTTCTGTTGAGTGATATCTTTCTGTGTCCTTTCCATTACAAATTTAAAAATTGTTGCTATAACACTCGATTCTTTGTCACCCAGAAGTGACATATCTTTTTAATTTACTGATTTATTTCAAAATTTTGTGTAGAAATTCCACTTTGAGTTACTTACCGAAAAACCTATATTTTGTGTGCTAACCACGCAGCACATTTGGTTAAAACGCATATTTTCGGGTTATATACGGTTGTTTCTTACGTTTTCGACGCATAAGGACTAAAATGTCGTTGTTTACCATCTATAAACTAAAAATACCTGATACCCTACCCCTCTCTTTAACGTATTGGTTCCTGAATGCTAGATACTGCTATCAGAAGATTAAATACTGTTAGTAAAAGACTAAGAACTGCTTGGAAAGAGGAAATACTATTTCAAGCAGTTGCCTACTACTTCTAAAATGCTAGATACTGAAGAGAAAGACCACAATTTATTTGGAAAAGACTAGATATTGTTTTCAAAATAATACCTATTGCTTCCAGAACGCTAAACACTGCTGTTAAAGGTTTTCACCTACTTGGACAGGCGGAATACTGCTTCCAGAATGTTAAATACTGCTGGAAAAGACTAATAACTGCTTGGAAAGAAGAGATATGCTTCCCAAAAAGCTACCTAATGCTGCCAGAATGCCAAATATTACCAGAAAAAACTAATAATTACTTGAAAAGAAGACATATGCTCACCAAAAAGGGTACCTACTATTTACAAAATGCTAGATACTGGTGGAAATGATTACAATCTGCTTGGAGAAGTCTAGATAGTGCTAACAAACAACTACAAAGTGGTTGGAAAGACGAGATACTGCTTCCATAAGACAACTTACTGCTTTCAGAGCGGTATATACTACTAGAAAAGATTACAATCTGCTGGGAGAAGACTAAATACTGCTGGAAGAAACTATTATCTGCTTAGAAAGACAAGACACTGTTTTCAAAAGACTATTAACTACCTTCAGAATGATAAATATTCTTGGAAAGACTACTACTTGCTTGGAGAAAGCTAGATATTTAGATATATATACAGATATATTATCGATATTTTATAAAGATCAATTCGTTATCTTTACAAAATAACCGTTAAAATGAGTCCAAACATGATGCATTTATCTCAAAAAACAACAAAGTTAGAATAAAAAAAAATTACTCCTGAAGTTAGCAACAATGAAGATAGCAATTTAATTTTTAAATATTAATACCAACCTTAATTTTTAATTTTTTTTTATTATATTTTTATTTTTGTGATAAATATTAAGACATTTTATCAAAATTAAGAATATGTCAAAACGACGTTAACATTTCAAACCGGAAGTTGACTGTAACATCATTAATATTGAAGATAAATATGTCGTGTTTGTACTCATTTTAAAGGATTTTTAATGAAGATTACAAATATGTCAAAATTGAGGTTGACATTTTAAACTTGAAGTTAGTATCATATAATAGACGTTTTATAACTGAAGTTAATCTAGTGTTAGTCACTTTTCCGCTTATATTTCGAGTAATCTTGGAATTAAACGCATCATGTTTACATGATTACAAATATGTCAAAATTGAGGTTGACATTTCTAACCGAAAGTTGACCATAACTTCATTAATATTGAAGATAAATATGTCGTGTTTATACTCACTTGAATCTTTCATGATGTATTCTTTATTAAAAAAACCTTTAAAATGAGTCCAAATATGATGCATTTATCTCAAAAAAGTTAGAGTAAAAAACATTAACCTTGAATGTTTTTAGTTTCTAGTTTTCAAAAAACGTGTCGTCACATCGAAATTTTAATGTAATTTTACGGTCACTTTTCCGCACTTTCATTTCATTTTTAACATCTTTTTTGGATCATTCCATCTTGATTAAAAAAAATGTTGATTTTTAAGCCGAATACTCTTGAATTTTAACAAAATAAAAATTAAGAAAAAAAATTAGGTTATGGCATGATTTCGCTGTCATTTTCGCGAAATTTTAGTGTCACTCCAAAGATGGCGTTGTTACAAAAATAAAACTAAAGTCCCTAGATTATTAAAGTACCGCCGTTTGCCGCCATTTTGGCTCGAAAGTTTAAAACTATATCGTTCTATTAATAATATTACGCCAAATTTCCTTTTTTTTTTCTCGTGGTACTCTGAAGAGTCGAAAGTCCTTCTTACTGCTATTTTTACAACTCCAAAGGCAACAAAACCGCAATATTTTTGTAAATAAGTGGTGACATGCACTGACAAGCTGTCAAACCGCCATTTTGGCTCGAATACACAGGCTTCATGAACCGCGGTGCTTCGATAATCTATTGACTTTAAATAAAAGAATCTATACATGGTGATTCTTGAATTTTTCCCTAAATTCTTATTTTTTTAGAGATATCTCAAATAATCCGTTAACATGCGATTGTAAATTACTTTGGTTATTAAAATGGGCTGAAAATACATCGGTAAAATTAATGTCGAACCCAAAATGCGCATCGCCTGCAGCGAATAAAGGAATATCGATAAAAAAATTAAAAATTGGCGAACACATTCATTGTAAATCCCCGGCACAAGGAAATCGTGAAATCCCCATCGTTGAAATAACCCCTAATTATAGCCAAATCGTTTTTGAGGGAGATTCATTACGATTAAATTGTAAAGCTCCGAGTAGTTTAGAAAGTTACGATATACATTTATCGAATTTAAAAGATAATATTGAATGGTTGTGGCTCGATTTGAATCCTCGAACGATTTTCGATGATGTTTTAATAGAAAATAAATATTTAGAAGATGTTGGATTGATTGATAGCTCGTTGATTATAACGAAATTGAATCGAAATCATAGCGGAATGTGGAATTGCGAGTTAATCTCGAATAAGCATCGATCGAAAAGTGTTAAAATTATTGTTATATCAAATGAAACAAAGTTTTGCTCAAGTATTTTAACAAGTGACAACAAAGGAAGTTATATTTGGCCTAAAACTATCGTAAATAACACGGTTTCTTTGCCGTGTAAACAAACCCATTTATCACTGGATATTAATTTACAAAAAGTGACTTATTTTTGTGGGGAAAATGGGAAATGGAGTGATTTAAACACAACGATGTGTAGTTATATCTCGGATACAACACGAATTTTAGAACAATTTTCTAAGTTTAGTTTAGCAATGGGTAAAGGGGGGATCATCGAGAGTGCTAAACATTTTAAAAATTATATTTCTGACTTAAATCAGTTAAAAGATGTTGAAGATTTGATATTTATAATCAGAACGATTGAAAGTTATTCTCAATTTGTGCCGGAAGAGAACGAATTGGGGCAAATTTTAGTGGAAATTGCAAGCATGGTGATGTTTTTGAACGAAACTTTTATTTCGGAAACTTGTTCTCGAGATAATTCTTGTAATAAGCTTATTAAATCAATTGAAAATATCGCTCAATTTACAACGACATCGTCTCTTCATAAATCGAATATAGCTTTAGAGATATTTCCCGTTAAACCAACAACCTTCTCAGGAATGACGTGCACTTGGTATATTACCCATAATAATTTAAGGGAAAGATTATTTTATTGCGCAACTACGAATCAAATCACTAAAAGTGTTACCCATGAGAAAATTGTTGAAGCCTCAATTCAAGTACCAATATTATTCTTTCATCAATTACGTAATCGAGAGATTTTACAAGAAACTTTATCGCATAAAATTTTAATTTCGATGTTTGGGGACGCTAAATTCTTTCCCATTAAGAATCAAAATGAAATTATTGTTTCTGCTGTTGTTGGAATTAAATTAGGTGAGTTAAATTAGTTAATTAACTTTTTTTATTTTTTTATACTATACTTATATGTGAGTCTATACTTTGTTCACGACTACTGCTGAAATTGATTCTATAAATTTATTTTTTTAAATAAATTTTTAATAAAGTTTAAACGTCAATTTGACAGAAATTCAATGTTACCAACTGTAACCAACTTCACAACAATTTATCAAAATTAAATGTCAATTTTATGAAACGTCATGTTTTTTTTTATGAAAATTAATTAATTTATGCTTAAATGATACGAAAAAAGGAATTTTTCGAAAACTGCTATTAAAAGTTCACTTTTGCGTAGTACTTAGCGACCGTCAAAACGATAGTTTTTTGTCAACAGGACGTAAAAGTCAAAGAATCAAAGAATTTGATACTATTAATTGTTAATTTATTGTTATGAACAAACTATAAACAGAAAATAATCAACATTTAATTGTTTTATCATTTCATTTCATGTTTAAATGCAAATTTATAATAGTACATTTGTTCAATATGTAAGGTTAAGTCGATGTGACGTTAAGTTTTTGACATAACATTAAATGAATTCTAAATGTCATTATACAGAATTTAGTCGTTTTATTAATTTATAAACTTTAGAATACGCAGTTTTCGAAAAAATGTTGTTTGATACACGACAGCGAAATTCTTTTGCATTCTCGAACGATTTTTTAGCTCGCTTAAGCGCCATCTTGTATCAAAAATAACTATTCCTAAAAAGTCCTAAAAAATTAAATTAAATTGACGTTTTTTGAAATTTTGACGTTTTTACATAATTATTTTTAGTCTGTCAAGTTGATTACCCGTGAATAATGATTATTCACCGCTATTATTCACTTAAAACTCATTTTTTTAAATAAATTTTTTAATAAAGTTTAAACGTCAATGTGACAGAAATTCAATGTAACCAACTTCACAACAATTCGTCAAAATTAAATCTCATTTTTATGAAAAGTAGTTTTCTTTTTACTAAAATTAATTAATTTATGCTTTAAATCATACGAAAAAAGGAATTTGTTTATGTTTTTTAATGTCAAACCTTTAGCAAGTCATAAAAAATTAAATTAAATTGACGTTTTTTGAAATTTTGACGTTTCAAATAATTATTATCAGTCTGTCAAGCTGATTATCCGTGAATAATGATTATCCACCGCTATTATTCACTCCGTGAAAAATGACTACCCGTTTGTTTTAGAAAACTCATTTATAAAGTAGTCGTGGACAAATTTTGTTTGATTCAAATACACGCGTGGATTTCAAGCTTTCAAGACTGATGAATGGTATTTGCCTAAATGAATCTGAAGCCTGATACTCGTAGTCAGGTTTTGGAACAAACTTTCCAGAAACTTTCTTGTCAGTACTACTAATTACATGCGTGTCAACCAAAACTCTTTCTCCAACCTTGAATCCTTGGTACTATACACCTTGCTGCCTCTTTTCTTTTCTCATACCAGCCTTAAAAATTAAACACAAAGGCGGGAAATTCAAACACCTTACAATCATTGTTGAACGCTCTTAACTTCAGTTATAAACCTTCTATTATATGATAAGTACCTTCAGGTTTAAAATGTCAACCTCAATTTTGACATATTTGTAATCTTCATTAAAAATCCTTTAAAAGGAGTACAAACACGACATATTTATCTCCAATATTAATGAAGTTATGGTCAACTTCCGGTTAAGAATGTCAACCTCAATTTTGACATATTTGTAATCGTTGTGAAAAATCCTTTAAAATGAGTCCAAACATGATACGTTTAATTCCAATATTACTCGAAATATAAGCAACTTCCGGTGTGAAATGTCAATGTCATATTGATATATTCTTAATTTTTATAAAATGTCTTAATTTTTATCACAAAAATAAAAATGTAATAAAAAATTAAGGTTGGTATTAATATTTAAAAATTGAATTGTTATCTTCATTGTTGCCAACTTTGGGTTTAATGTTTTTTATTCTAACTTTTTTGTTTTTGAGATAAGTGCGTCATCTTTGGATTCATTTTAAAGGTTTTTTAATGAAGATGACAAATATGTCAATATTGTCAATGACGTTTCAAACCGGAAGTGATTGTATTTCCATTAATATTAAAGTTAAGTATGCCGAGTTTGGACTCATTTTAAAGGATTTTTTATGAAGTTGATAAATATGTCAAAATTAAAAGTTCGAACTTTTGGTTTTTGAGATAAATACGTCAAGTTTGGACTCACCTTAAAGGTTATTTTATGAAGATTACGAATATGATAATAAAATTAAAGTTGATGATTTATTTTTAAACAATGAAATGGCCCAAAAAACCCGTTAAAAATGAAAAGAAAATGCGGAAAAGTGACTAACACTAGATTAATTTCAGTTATAAAACTTCTATTATATGATACTAACTTCAAGTTTAAAATGTCGACCTCAATTTTGACATATTTGTAATCTTCATTCAAAATTCTTTAAAATGAGTACAAACACGACATATTTATCTCCAATATTAATGAAGTTATGGTCAACTTCCGGTTAAGAATGTCAACGTCAATTTTGACATATTTGTTATCGTTATGAAAAATCCTTTAAAATGAGTCCAAACATGATACGTGTAATTCCAATATTACTCGAGATATAAGCAACTTCCGGTTTGAAATGTCAACGTCGTTTTGACATATACTTAATTTTTATAAAATGTCTTAATTTTTATCACAAAAATAAAAATGTAATAAAAAATTAAGGTTGGTATTAATATTTAAAAATTGAATTGCTATCTTCATTGTTGCCAACTTTGGGTTTAATGTTCTTTATTCTAACTTTTTTGTTTTTTGAGATAAGTGTGTCATCTTTGGAGTCATTTTAAAGGTTTTTTAATGACGATGACAAATATGTCAAAATTGACATTGACGTTTCAAACCGGAAGTGATTGTATCTCCATTAATATTAAAGTTAAATATGTCGAGTTTGGACTCATTTTAAAGGATTTTTTATGAAGTTGACAAATATGTCAAAATTGACGTTTCAAACCGGAAGTGATTGTATTTCCATTAATATTAAAGTTAAATATGTCGAGTTTGGACTCATTTTAAAGGATTTTTTATGAAGTTGACAAATATGTTAAAATTAAAAGTTGAAAGTTCGAACTTTTTTAGTTCAATAAAAATATACAACATAGTAATATCTTATACTAACTAGTGGTACCTAGCACTGTCACTAGAACTAACACTAGACCTCAAGACGGTTAAATCCGAATGATTCTAGTTGTAAGTCTTGAATTAGTTGTAGTGTTAGTTCTAGTTTTAGTGCAATAAAAATACCGCTGTCGTTTGTAAAATGGATAAGATGAGAGATGTTAAACTATTTATAGTAGTCAGAACATCACACCAAAGTCTCTTGAAATCCAAGCGTGATATCCTTATAACAATTTTTTTTAATAAATATCTATTTGATTTTGTTACCGTGTTGAATTAATAGATGGCGTTAGATAAATAATTAAAATAAATTCTTTTTAGATGACGAAAATCAAATAGAAAATTTGACAGACCCGATTAACATAATGTTACGAACCCCAAAATCATC